AAAATTTCCATGGATCTATTTGTAATAAATTAGGGCTTATATGGAAATTTTCAAAGCACTGGAGAAGTAGATATCGCCATTGTAAAATCTGATGTATTTTTTGCTGTATCACTTCATTTTCCGGACTTCGAAAAAAGAATTTTCAATTACAAATTAAAATCCTATCTCAGTGACACATTTTGATACCGTATTCAGAGTGTCTACGACCCGCTTTTCCAACTTATATATAAAGAACTTCTCAGTACCGTATAAGTTTTCAATCCCCCATAATTTTGTTGATGAATCCTCAGAAGCTTCCAGAATCTCAAAAAAAATCTTCTTTCTATTACCTTTGCTTCCGCCAAGCCCCTAAACTCTCTTTATCCCCTTCCCTATCATCGATCCTCAATTTCCGGTGACTTTCCAAATAAATGGGTGTTCGCGTGGTAATAAATGACCTCGTGAGGTCGTTTTGCGTGGAAACAGCTCGCCAAAGAAATAAAAAATTGGAAAAACCACCTTTTACTTTGTCATGTTATTTTTTAGCGAGTAAAAAAGTGGTAATTCCACTCGTAATGATTACTTTTCAACCTCAATAGGGTTTTCTTGACCTTTGAGGTCCAATAACAACGGCAGAAGGATTGAAAATCTCAAAAAGTTCAAAGTTTTGATCGGTCAGGCTACTGTCTACTGTTTGTTTGAGTAATTACTGTGTCTGTTCGTCAAGCGGATTAACTTTTCAATCCCTCAATTTCTCTTTTTCGTCCGCTTTTTTACGTGAAGAGGGCTCAAAAGAGGGAACGGGGGAGTTTGGGCCGCTTTTCTCTCAAAGTTTGAGGGAATTTCTCAAAAATTTTCGAAATTTATCCATTCTTTTGTTTGCTCAAGGGTAATCGAGAGTTTTGAAATCATTTTTGGTTCACGTATTTTCATATTTTATATTGAATTTTTGATTTCTAGCACGAATTTTTAGAAATTTTGGTTCATTATAATACTCTTTAATGAGAGCCGTAACTTTTATCTTTCAATCACGTTTTTCGATTTAATGGTTCCTTAGTCTTTGTTATCAGTATATATACGCGTCTCCTATCAGTACAATAAACTCGTGTTATAACAAAGGGATCCATCCATTGGGCCATTGAAACCAAAAAATGCGATAAGAAAAATCAGAGTTTAGGGAAGTAAATTCCATTGATTCATTGATATATTAGAAGCATTTTAACATGACGTATTTTACAAACATATTTTTAATTGTTCAGCGGCCAGAAAGTGATTATTATATTTATAAAAAATTCTGAATTTTTAAGCTCTTCTTATTGAAAATTACTTCGTATTTTACCTTCTCATTTTCTAAAAATTCTGCACAGATATACTACGACACTAGTCCAAAAATCAATTTCTAAAAATTTTAGGTTACTCTGCAAACGCGGCCAAGATATTTAGTGATCTTTGTAGCCAAGAGATGACTAAAAAAACGAGGAATACGGTGCAAAAAAGGGTTTCAAAAAATGAGAAAAAGTAAAAATTTTTTTACAACTTTCGATGTAAAAACCTTGATTTTTAAATCTCGCATATTTTCCAAAAACTATCACTAAATCAATTCCAAATTATATTTCTTTAAAGAAGCCCTATAAAATTACACTTTATTTTACTTTTTTATACTCTACTTTTTAAAAATCTTTCAAATTTTTTGCCCGAAAATTCTTTAAATTTTCTACATTCCCCCTTTTCGTTGTTTTTCTTTAAAATTATTTGTTAATTACTATTAAAACCCCCTTCAAAAGCCTTGTTTCCCCCGAAAAAGTCACAGTTTCCCCAATTTCCGTCGATTATTTTAATTAAAACCCGAATTGACTTGAATTCAACCTGCAGCAATTCCCGGTTTTCCCTGAGGCATTGTCTTCACGTAACAAAAGCGAAGTCGTTCTTTGAAGAGCCCGTTTCTTGTCGCTGAAATGGTCACGGTTTGGGTTTATTAAAGCAGTAATTTGGAAGAGTTAATTTATCGCGAAGTTCACTCGAAGGCGATTTACGGGAGGGTGGGTCGAATCGGAGGTAAATGATATTATATTAGCCTCCGGGCATCAATGTTGACATTAAATGTTGACATTAGATAAAACATTTGTATGCATTTTATTTGATAGTACTAGTTATAAAAGACGTTGAAAAGTTTGGACAATAATTTTACCGCACTGAATAAGACTAGTTTATTTAGTTTTTAAAATTTTTTTATCAGTGTTTTTTAGGCCAAAAAATATTTTTTTTGCAGTCCGCACAGTGCAGTTTTCCTAATTTTCGATATATTTTTTTCGATTCCAATTAAAGCAAAAATTTATTTTTACATTTTACAAGGATATTGGCCAAATTTTCTTATTTTTAAAAATATGTGTCAATCACACCCTATTATTTTACCAAAACTGCGATTTATTTTTTTACCGCACCGTGCAGTTGACTTTTCAAAAATTCTGCACTGTGCAAAAATTCTTTTCCAAATTTGCACCGTGCAGTACAGAAAAATTTCTTTGCACCGTGCATTTCCTTTTCCCTTTCAAGATTTCTGCACTGTGCAGAAATCTTTTTTGTTTTCTTGCACTGTGCAGTTCAAAATTTTAATAAAAAAATTTCCAAACAGCAAAACCGTTTGGAAATGCGAATTTTCTCGATAAAAATCGTATCTTCTTGGGATCCTCTCGTTTGACGGAATAAATTTTCGCCTTGGAGGCTGTTTATCGCCGCTTTTTACGGGGATTTTTAACGGACTTTGGGTGGCGATTTTCGATTTCGAAACCCCTGATCTCTATTTTCAGGTGGATCACGTGGGTTTTATCACCCCATCAGTTCTTGGTATTACAGTTTAACCTTGATCTCTCAATTCTGGGACAGTTTTTATAGTTTACCAGCGTTTTTTCACCTTTTTTACACTCTCTTCTATTTTGCGATTATTCTCAAGTCAAAAACAATTCTTCCGATAGTAAACTTGTCACATAATCGTAGCTGTAATACAGGTTCCCAACAAGTCAACAAAGGGAGTTTAACAAAGTCTAAAAGACAAAGGCCCTTAGGGCAATCACTCTTTTTTGCCTACTATTTTACTATTTAGTAACTGAGATGGATGACTTTTTGTGTAATCGTTGCGTGAAGATAAAGTTTCCGATGACCCAAATGAAGGGGGCTGTTTTGTCGGCGAAATGTCAAAAAAAGTAAAAAAAGTTTGCGAAAAAAGTGAAAAAATTTCATTTTCATTCGGATAAGCAGCCAAAATATATCCGAAAAATTAGTTTTTCATAAATCTAGTTTGTATTTTACAATTTGAAAATATTATTTTTTCAGTTACGCCATGAATAATATCCGAAAGGCCTCCTTTTTCTGACTCCCAATTATCCATTTTTCTTATTATTTTTCATGAAGCCCCTGTAGCCTTCCTCTTCCGTCCGTAGACTCGTTTTTCGCTCCATAAAAATGGTCATTAAGCTGAGGAATAATCGCGAAAAAAGTGAAGGGAATTACATAATCAACCGTATCTCTCGGATTTGTCGCGGTTTCGTTGCGGGGATTCGGAAGGGCCGCAGGGAAAGGGGAATCGCACAAAAAAGTTGGGGAAGCTTGGCTGTTCTGTGGGAGGGGATGTTACAGTTGATAGATAGTAAAAAATAAAGTTATTGGTGGGTAGAAATAGCCAAGAAATTTTTGTAAAAAAAGTCATTTATTGCGATGAGCAATAAACAAAATAGCTTATTAATACATATATGCGCGAAGATCGAGCTGAAATTTTCAAAAATGAATAGTAGACACAACGGATTTAAAAAATTTGTCGTTAATCTATGTTTTCAGCAGTTTCTTTTCTTGCAAAAAAAGTTCATAAAACGAGATTTTTCATAATTTTTTATAGTCATCATTTTGTGGACCCAAAAAATCAAAAACTAATTTTACTAGGCCGTTCGTAAAGTCGCTGGAATGTTTTCGGCGACATGCACTCCGCGAAACCGAAAGTTCACATTGCACTGTGCAATTTTTGGCCTTTTGCACAGTGCAATAGGCTTTTTGGGGCTGTCGCTCGCACCCTGAGTTTTCTTGCACAGTGCACGTCGCCGAAATCATTCCAGCGACTTTACGAACGGAGTGATATAAAAAAGGCCAAGCGCACTCCTTTTCTTATCGCATTCTTTTGGTTATATTGTCCACACTGATCTCTTTGTTTTATAATGATTTGATAGTACTGATAACAGGCACTAAGAAATCATAAAATTTTGATTTTAAAAGCTGGCTTATAAATACTTCATGCAGCGAAACTTTAAAGAATATTTGAGCGCCTTTTACCATTTTTTTGTCATCTTTGTTTTTCATTTTATCCCAATTCCGACGCCAGACAAATTTCCAATTTTTAGCAAGTCTCCTTATACCAATTAGACCCCAATTTTCCCATCGTCTTCTACCTTTAAATTGACTGCCAAACACAAGGAAAAAACACAAATCAGGCTGAGATTTTCAACGTCCTTGACTGGGTTTTCTATATTTACGTGGGCAAAGTCACACTTGGTTTACATCAAAGTTACTTTGGGGGGCTATAAAAGTGGAAGACCACGCTATTTTTCATAGAAATCGTTGTAATTTGGCTGATTTTGCGCTGAATTAAGTAAGGGAAGTCTAGACGTTAAGGTTAATGTCTAGAAAATTTAGCTTGATTAATCGCTTGCACTTTAGTTTTCAATTTTTTGGGAGGATTTTTAATATTATTTGAATTTTTTTGCCTACTTCAATTACCATTCCAATGATTATTTACCCAATTTCCGTGACTTTTATCAGCATCGCCGCTGATATAAAGGGCAACAAAAAGTGGGGCGGGAACGCGGACTGTTCGATTACTTTACAATCATATCACTTTCGTGCAAACCTTATGGTCTGTGATCTCCATTTATATATAGATTACTAATTTGTGACAAACAACGTTCAAGTTGTAAAAAAATTTTTTCGCGATTACTGTACTCAATTTTATGTGAAATATCAATTTTGCTGATTCAGAGATGCTGAGCCACCAGCGACAATGGAATCCGGAGATTGTTGGGGCCTCCGAAGAGATGGACAAGCTGAGTTTGGACAGTGCCGTCAGTTCCGAGGGACTGGCAAGGTAAGGGGAGGATATGTATTATAATTTGGGCATGAACAAGCAATTTGGAAAAGTGTGTGTACCAAAATAATTTTAGGAGTATCCAGAAAAAATTTAGCTCGAAATAGACTTCTTATTTAACGAGTAATTTGTGTAGGAAAATTTCAAATTCTAAAAAATGAAGCGACTAGAAAAAACATATATTTTACAATTACACAAGTATTTACTTAGAATATCTTAAAAATATGGACGATTACTCAAAAAATCTTCGGAATCAAGCCCTAAAGCTTCAAGTCTTTATAGGGAAACCGGGATGTTCGATTATCTTTGTCTGCAAAAGAACACATCAATTTATGAGGCTTGGCAAAAAAGCCCTTTTGTTATTCAGCCAATAAAATATTGGGAAACGAGTTCTTTGATCCCATTGTTTCGTAAAACATGTAAAAATAATTTTTTTAACCTTAACAACCGTATTTTACCGCAACTTTTTTTCAGCAATTCCGCCGGCGAAATCTCCGAAGATGACATTCAGATCTCGGCCGACCTAACAGTCAGCGAAATTGAAAAAATAAAAAATCTCAAAACAGAAATTGGCAAGGAACTGCTGGAGAAAACGCCGTTGATGAACGACGAGTTCTCTCTTCATCGATGGATTTGTGGATGGGATAACAAAGTTGGTAAGTGCAATATTTTATGAATTATTTTACATTTGTTTATCATACACAAAAAATGATAAGCAAGGGTGGTAATTACTGTCTTAAAACGGCTATTTGTTACTGCATTCCTCTTCATTTAGTAAATAGACGGGTATTATGTCTAAAGTCATAAGAAAAGATAGCAATTACTTTGGTTTTGAGAGTTTTTTTATGTTTTTTGCTGGTACTTTTATCATTTTTACCTTTAAATTTTGACTTCCGGGTATTAAAAAATTGGTTTACAATTCGGAAGGCTAAGTCGTATGTTTCGGTTATTTGGAACGTTTTCCAGGTCAAGGTTGATGTGTAGATGTCTCACAATCTTGAAATCAGAAAAATATTTAGGTCCTTGGGATACACACTACACTTTTATTAGGTTGGATTAAAAGTTATGACAATTTTCTCGCAAAAGTTTGAAGTCGATTATTTTCTAGCTCAGATCCCTCCTTTTTTGACATAGTTATAGACTAATAGATGGCTTATCGAAGCTTCATTTAGGGTGTATTTCTAAGCTTTACGGCATAGCCGAGATTTTCTATTGCTAAAACCTCGGTAGTGCCCTGATTTTGGCAGGATACGAAGCGACTCAAGTCACGTCCCTCAGCCAGCCGCTGCTGGTCTCAGATTGGTGTTATTACAATCTTCAAGGATCGTAGAAGACGCTGACATAGCATCCTTACTAGGTAGTAAAGACAACTTATTTATAGGCTGTTTTTCTTCGGAAAGTTGCCGGAGCGGTCGGCCGAAAAGGCGTCTAAAAAACCAGCGCCTGGGGTTTCTATGTTCCATTTTTATAACTCGTAGTACCACGAGATCACTTGTCTGTTGTCACACTAAACAAATTTTACTTATGTTGCGCTCTAGTTGTTGTAGAACTAGGATTAAAACACAATTTCAATCTACATGTCCAAAAAGTGACCACAACTTCTAATCCTCCCATTTTCAGCCGAGATCCTCCCCCGCTACGCGCAAATGTCCGAGATTGTGGAAGCCCTCGGCTTCAACGAGTTCGTCGTCAACGATGAGGACGAGGTGAACACAACCGTCGTGAAATACAACCATCTCGCCCAATTCTTCGCCGGCGGAGTGATGGGATTCGATAATGACGGGGATCTGATCACCTGCTCTTTCCTCGGCAATGTGAGGCCGAGAACGCTGGTCAAGTGCGGCAGCACCCATCAGGTCTTCAAGATGGCCATTCTGGATGCTGTTTTGATTATGAAGTTGTTGAAGAAACGAGAGGAGAAGACGGGGAAACAGGCGGGATGCAAGATCATCATGGATCTGAGTGGATTCGGGATGGAACATTTGTTTGCACCCACTGTTAAGATCTACTTGAACTTGATCAAATTGCTGCAGGTAATAATTTGAATAATTTACAGACTTTTGAAAGAAAACAGCTCAGATTTTGATGAAATTTGACAAAATTAAAATTGCAATTTTCTCTAAAAATTAGACTTTAATTTCCCCATTTCTTCAGGACATGTTCCCCGAGCTGACCCGCAAGATCTATGTCATCAACTCACCCACCATCTTCACAACCGCCTTCGGACTGATCAAGCCGATTTTGTCGGAGAAAACACGATCAAAAATCGAAATCTTGGGCTCAAATTATCAGAAATTTTTGTTGGAAGAACTGGGCGAACATAATGTATATCCACTTTATGGAGGCAGCAAGAAACCGACGAAAGGAGATTCGGAAACTGGCACGCTCCGAATGGGAGGAGTCCCGCACAAGGAGAATATGTAAGTTGTTTTTCGGATAAGGTCGATAGATTAGGGCCTATGTTGCTTTCATTTTGCAAGGCATTTAGCTCAAACTGAGAGCAAAATTTTTAAGGGAATATACGAGACTTTACACTTGAAAAAAATCGTCGAGAAATGTCTGGAAAATCGACATGCTTTCTGCGGTTTTCATCTCGATAAAATGGAAGTACTATGTATTGCCTAACAATGTAAAATTCTAATACGAAGTCCGTGTATTTTAACAAGTGAAATTCAGAAAAATACGGCCAAAAGAGTTTTTTCTCTGACCGCTCTCCCCAGTTTCTGTACTCTCTAATCTTCAAACGTCTAGGCTAAAATTTTCAGCACTTGAAATGCTGCTTATAACCTCTTAATTTTCAGCTACAACCCGATCTATTGTCCCCACAGCGTCGATGATGACAAACTCACCAAGATCAATGTCCCCGCCCGTTCCAAAAAATCGCTTGACTTTGAGTGCAAAGCCGGCCAGACCCTGAAATGGTTCTTCAAATCCTCGGGAGACATTGATCTCTCCGTCTACCTGGACAACAAGATCTTGTACATGCCAAAACTCCGGCTGAACACCGAATTTGTGCCCGAATTTGATGAGGTTTTATGCAAAGCCGATGGGACTTACTCGATCATCTTCGACAATTCGTTCAGCACATTCTTCAGCAAAGATGTGAGGCATCATATCCAGATTGTTGATTGAGATTTCTTGTTTGTTTTTACGGGTATTAGCTGTTAGAAAGTAGTGTCATTGTAACCATATCTCTCTACAGAACACATTCGTTTTTACGGTCATTCACACCATATTCGCATGCCATTCCTATGAAAAAATGTTGAAATTCAATCATCATATTGTACAGACATATATTATATAAATAAAAAAATTTAAATTTCTGATTTCTTGGATGAATTTTTTGTCAGGAGTAATACAAATTGAGATGTGACAAGGGCATGAAACTCTGTATTTTTCAGTTGACAGAACAATGGAGAAAAAATCAATATGATTCAGCTTCTATTTTGACTGTTATGCACTTTCAAGGCCGTCATCATCAACTACCTTTCATGAGTAATATAATTTAGAGACACACGTGCAACATCAACAAACTCTATTAAAAAGAGCAGCTCCAGTCTGTTAGTTTTAATTTAAAATACAATAATATCTGGGCCGTTACCTTGGCTTCTGGAAATCGGAAAGAATTTCATCATAAAAGCAGAGGGCGTATTTTACTAATATTTTGACGCCCCTAGTTCAATGCCACCTCCATAACTTGGCAAACCGATAAAATCGATATTTCATCAGCTTGTTATAAGAATATCTGGGCCGTTCCCGGAAGCAGTGCAAGACCGGGCCGACCCGTGCCGAGCGGAAGGCAAGCCTTCACAACTCCGCTGGTCCCAAAAATCTGTTAATCTCGAATGACTTCAATAGAAGTCGTACCGGAGATTAAACCGATAAGAACAGATACTACACTTTGATCTTAGCCAAAAGGCCGAGAAGCGATAAAGAACTGGGGAATTTGGATTGGTTCTGCTTTCTTTTTCGAGGAAAAGAAATGGGTTCTCTTTCGGGGCGAGGAAGTTAGAGAAAGGTTTGGAAGAACGAGGAGAAAAAGGGCTTGTTGCGCAAGAAATGCTGGTACAAGTGGATGCAGATCCTTCTCCTTGTTATCTTCTTTCATAATTCATGTCATGATGACATACTTCTCGTCCAAAATTTCACTTTTTATTTTTATAAATTTTAAATTTTCGAGTACCAGTCGATAAAAAATTTATGACTGCATTGAAAATTTTCGATGAAATTCATTTTTAAGCCCCGTATTTTACCGTTTACTTCCCTAATTCTCCTCCAAAACTAATTGTTCCTCTTTTCTCTGTTCCAAACCCACTTTTTTGTCCTCAAAAAACATGGCCAAACCATTCGGCGTGGGCGAGAATTAGATGGCGCTCTGATCTTTTTTCTTTTTCCCTTCCGGCCAACTGTTTTTGCCCTGAGGGGATGCAAAAAAAAAGTTCGCCGATTTTTTGTTTTTGGGCTTTTTGCTTGTAATTATTGCGTTCCCGAGGTGTTTTTTATATGTTTTGGGTGTAGAATCAGCTCATAATTAAAATTCATCCGACATTATCCTTGATTTTATGAGAATCTGGCTGTCTTTGGCCCTGACTCCGTATGATTAATCGATTTTTTTTGTTTTCCGTCACTGCCTTTGGCTTTGCGGAGGGCTTTTTGTCATCAGAAGGTCTAGTGGAACGGCCACGATTTTTTTATCGTCACTTTTGCAGAGTTCGTCGCGTAAATGATGACGACTTTTTTAGATTTCAAGATGAAAGTGAATTTTGTATTTTTTCTTCTCTAAAAGACACCTTTTTATGCCTCTATCAGACAGATTAATGAGGGAGCTTCATGCCCTCCCAGGTCCCTTGGCCAAACTTTTCTTCTTTTCTTTTGGTTTTTGCAAAGGAAGTTATCTTTAGGGTAAAATACGAAAATTTGATTCAACCTAATAGATGGGTAGAATAGGGCGTCCAGGCAATATCTTGTGAAGAGACTGCAGATTCATCTATCGTTTTAATTTGAGTAATTCTTACTTCGAATCCGAAAATGGTGATATAATAAACAAGAGTGTTATAGCCAAGTGACGAGATCAAGTTCAGGTGTGAAAGAACAAGTTTTTGCACTTTTTTTGTCCATCTTTTGTTGCTGATTATATTCGCTTCTTTCTCAATTTCAGTTCTTACTTTGTAGACTCCGTATTTTACAAAAAAATTTACGAAAAGTTTTGCAACTTTTCAGGCTGGGTTCCGAGCCTCAAGGTATCCAAGATCCTGGTAATAATGATGAGGAAAAATCCAAAAATTTTCCTTATGTTAATTAATGTAAAACCCTTCTCGAAAAATCCATTTTTTTATCCGAAATCAAAAAAAAAAATCCAAATATTTTTAATTAAAAATCGTTGTTAAAACTCGTGCCTTCGAATTTCAGTCCACACGTATGTTTTTATTGGCACAATTAATACTGTACTGTATCAAATCTTCTTTTTCCTTCCTAAAAATTGTCTCAACCTCCCTTCCTGAAGATCTCTCCCTCGATTTCTGACGTTCGTTGCCGACTTTTCAAGGCCAGACCTCATGTCTTTTTGCGTAATTCTCCTTTCGAGAAATTTGTTTCCACTTTTTGAGATGTCACAAATCCCTTCCCCAACGTGATGTGATCTACAAACCACCTAATCTCGCTCTCTTCAATATAATTTTAGGGTCTCAAAGTGATGACAGAGCCGACTTCGGAATTCTCGTTTATCGGCCGCAAAGATTCCGCGAATTTGGAGAGCAAAAGTTACAGCGGTACGTCGGAGTCGACAGACACCACGGTTATTGATAATAGAGGGCTTGATTATGGGGGCAAAATAAGCGATAAAGAGCCGAACAGTACTGCTTCGGACGATTTGGCATACGCAGAGTAAGTTGGCACCAAAAATGATGACTTAACTTTGTTTGCCCTACCAATTTGACTCTTCAAATTTCAGCAACTCCATTTCCCTCTCCTACCCGAATTGGGGCGGCGCTTCCACAGCCTCAGAGCCCGTCCCCACCGACGATCTCACTTCCCTCTCAACGACGGTTACAAACGCCACAGAAGACCCTCGAATCTACCTACATGACGAAAAGATAGAGCCTCATCGAAGCTCGATTCTACAGAAGACGGCATTGGAGCAAATCAATGAATCCGAGGCCTGGAGCAAGGCCGATTTGGCCTTGATGAAAGCCAAAACTTTCGCTGACGATGTGGCACAACGAATGTCAAAATATATGAACAACGACGGGAATGAGACGGACGCCAGAAAATTGCAGCACGACAATGATGTGAACGAAAGAATGGAAGCGTATTTCAGCGAGGATCTGCCGGAACGACCCGACTTCTCGAAGTACTTGAATCGAAAGAGGGACTATGGGTTAGACGCTGATGAAAGACAAGACTTGAAGGGGAGTGGTAGAGGACACGACGATTATGACAGCAAGAAGCCAAGAAGCGATGTATTCGGTCATGGGACACGCTCTGAAAATGAGCAAGAAACGCAGCCAAGTGGTGTTTTTGGCCATGGAACGAGGAATTCGGACGTTTTTGGACATGGAACCGGAAATACCGACCGTTACAGCAGTTCACAATATGATACTGACGTTGATGGCGGTGCACAGGGTAACGTGTTTGGACATGGAACAAGAAATTCTGATGTCTTTGGCCATGGAGTCGACAAATACGATGACAATTCTACGCAAAAGGCTCATCAAAGACATCTTTTTGGCCACGGAACTGGCAACAAAGTGCCAGAGAATACGCCCAGCGACACTCCCAAGAACAACAATTCTCCTCCAACTGAAGCGACTGCTAACAACCCCGAAGGCATTGTAGTCACCCAGCCGTCGGCTGAAGTCGAATTGGACACCGAAGAAATCCCTCCAGAAAAGTTGCTGAACACCTCGAGACGAGGAAGTTTTGTCTTTGGATTTGCTCCAAGCGACAACGAAGACGACGATTTTGATCCGGTCGCTGATTTAATCAACGAACTCGTCTATGAGACCAACGAAATCAACAAAAGTATGAGTGAAGCGGCCTCAAAGCACAACACAATCTCCACCGACAACACCGAGAAGACTTTGCAGAACGATGACGACACGGATAATGACCTGACCGAGCCCATTCAACCACCACCAGCTGGACCCATTTGGGATATTAATTATGCAATTGGGCTGAGTGATCGACCGAAGGATGTGGCCGGATATGTGGTCATAAACAAGGTCGACGAGATCCTGAGCAAAGACAAAGATGGAAAACCAATTGTGTTGAGGGGAGGAAGCTTAGACGGAAGTCCGAAGCTGAACGAAAGAAGGGATCATTTGACAAGGCAAGCCAGGGTAGCCAGCGAAAGCGAAAATGGCCTGGAAGAAACGGAAAGCTCTCGGATGGAGACAATTCATGAGGGTCGGACTGATTCTCAAGACCACCCCGCAGCCTCGGAGATTTCCAAAACTCCTGAAGCCATTCCGACGCCAGCAGCCGACCAAACATCCGAAAATACGACCACAAATCTTCCTCATGACCCCGATAAAAAATCTCTGGAATTCCCCAAAAAACACGGGGAAACAAACACAACAGGCCCTGAGGCGAAAAGCGTGGAGGGGCATGGAACAAGTGTTATTAGCGGCAAGATTGATAACGCCCAATTTAACGAAAATCCAAACGAAACGTCAGAGATCCCGGTTGTTTCAGCTCAAACTCCGGCACGAGTTTCTAATTCCGGCGATATGGCGTCTGGTTTAGCGTCAACTACGCCGATTGCTACTGATATTCCTGCAGGCACTACTAGCCAAACGGTGGGATCAATTTCAATGGAAATGGAGCCAATGAAGATTGTTCAAAAGCCTTCTTTTGGCCAGAAAACAACTTCCATTCAAGGATTCAGAACTCCCGGACCGGCCGCTGAAGTTGTGACGGTCGAGACGAAGTTTCCAGAAAGCGTTCCGCCTCCGGAGCCGGCTGTTCCAGGCGACACTTTGGCTTTTATGGTCCCAAATAATGTGCTGGATCAGGTAGTTAAGAATGTGCAGGAGAATGAAGACAAAAATGGATCGACTGCAGCCAATCCAACTGCTCAAACTCCTGTACAGCCAAGTTCTCAAATCCCAACATGGTCAGCAACCTCTAATATCGAACCGAGTCAACCCAATTCCGAGGATTCTGAAGCCAAACCGGTTGAAATTCCAGTTCAAATCCAGTCCGAGGCCGAATTTGCGGCAAACAAAGTCCCAGAGAAAGTCACAATAACTCCAGAGAGTAATGATGAGGTTGTTGTGCAAGTCCCTATCAACGTAATTAACAACGATGATTTGCCAAAGGAGCCAATCAAGGATAACTACGATAGCGAGAGTTTATTCAGCGTGGTCAGTGGAAACAGTCTACCGGAACTATCGAACGGTGAGAAGATAGATGAACCGGTGCTGATAAATAAGGTGGATACTGATCATCTACTAAGTTTTGGCGTCAAAAAGGCTGATGAGACTGCCGTCCCACCAAATACACCATCAAGTGGACAAAATGGACTGAACGGAAGTGAAAAAGTTGAGGAAATCAGTTTACCGCAAGGCTTAGTACAACCTCAAGAGGTGAAAACTCAACAACCTGCACAACAGTCAACACAATCGCCGGAAAAACAGTCAGAATCCAATATTTTCGAAGGCGCTGTGGCTAATGATTCGACTGAAAAAGAAGTCGAGGATGTTGTTGATATGAGTGTTGAGTTAACTCAAGCTTCAGCTGAAGGATCGAGGGTAAACGAGATCACGTTGAACGTCATTATAGAGAGAAGATCTGTCGGAGAATCGGCAGAAGCGTTGAGCTTGGAGGAAAGTGAGCTTCTGGCAGACGAATTAACAAAATCAGCAGCCGGAGAGGTCCCACACAAGGTTGGAGACGAAACGAAAGAGGGCGATGGACTCGTGAAGAAGGCTGAAGAAGAGAGAACCGAGACTAAAGTGCCAGTTCAAGTCGACGCAAAGGCCGCAAGCGACGTTAAAGTGGCCGAACAAGCTGAAGGTAAACAGACTGAGACTACCTCAGCAAAGGATGGAAAGGGTAGCGAAGTCCAGCCAATTGAGACGCAAGATGCTCAATCATCGGGTTACAAGTCGGATGGAGTTGAGATTCCAGTAGAAATCAACAAACCATTTGAACCAGTCAAAGATGCTGATTACGGTACTGAAATCCCAGTGGAAGTCAATAAACCACTAGACGGTCCAGCTCATCCAACAGAAGTTGGAGCTTTAGAGAACGAAGATGCCAAGTCTACAACTTCTCAAGTGTCTTCGGATATCTATGGATCAAAAACTTCGGAGTTTGGAACCGAAATTCCAGTGGAAATCAACAAGCCATTTGACGGTCCAGTTAACCCTCCATCCGCTCCTCAAGAAGCACCAAGTCAAGCTCATCAACCTGACAACACCTCGGGCTATGGTACGGAGATCCCAGTGGAAATCAACAAACCTTTGGATGGTCCAGCTCACCCTACACAAGTATCACAAAAAACCAGTGACGGTCCGGTAAACCTTTCCGACTTGAGCAGCACCTCACTTCTGGAAAAGAAACCAGATGACAAAGAAAGCAAAGAGCAGCTAGTCCAAGCTGTAAAGTCTTCAGAAGCCCCAGTGAACCTCGGTGATCTTGACAATAAATCACTTCTGGAAAAAACGCCTGCGGAAAAGAAGAGTGAAAGTGGTCAACCAGGTGCCAAGGAGGAAAGTGCAAGCTCAGTTCAACAAGAACCAGTAAAAGATCGTGACTATGGTACGGAAATAATAGTGGAAATCAATAAACCCCTTGATAAGCCGGCTGAACCCGTTTCCGAAGGGACTGTAGATCAGAAATCACTGGAGGAAGCAGCGAAACAAGCAACTGAAATTCCAGTGGAAATTAACAAACCGCTCGAAGGACCAGCACAACTAAACGACTCTGGAGTTACTCAAGACGCTGCTAATGTTGCCGAAGCCAAAGAATCTGCACAATCGGTTGATGAACCGCAGAAACTACCCGAAGAAATAAAGCCCGAGGAGTCCAAAATATCTGAAGTTAACACCGAGAAATCTTCCGAGCCAACAACAGCTGAGAGAGCAGCAGAGAAGCCTTCAGAATCTCAGCCAACAGAGCCGTCTGAAGATCAAAAAGAGCATAGGAAAACACCAATCAAACTTCATGAACCCGTCCAACGAACCGATTCCCTGGGTAGAATCATTCCAATTTTGTATATCAATGAAGAACCAATTACCTCACCTCCTCATGATTACAAACCCTTAGGCTATTCTCGACAATTGGCTAAGAAAGAAGCCAAGACCGAGAAGAAAAAGGACTCCAAGAGAGAGGACAAGGATGATTCGAAAGAAGGCAATGTTGAAGGAGGAGATCAGAAAGAAAAGGAGGCTGAAACGAAGTCTGATAAGACTGTAGATAAACCTTTTGAACCTGAGGCCGGACAGGATGCGCCAAAGGAGGGCAAAACTCAAGTTGACGAGAAATCAGAAAGGACATCGGAACCAGTAAAGGACGCCGATTACGGGACCGAGATTCCAGTGGAAGTCAACAAACCCCTTGACGGCCCTGCCAATGCAGCGAAGTCAGTGGAATCGGAAGCTAAACCGTCCGAACCTGGAGTTGAAATCCCAGTGGAAATCAACAAATCACCTGATGGTCCAGCTCATCCGGTGTCAAACGAATCTGCCATTCCTGAAGAGTCAAAGGCTTCAGTTCAAGAAAAAGAGCAAAAGGATGCGGATTACGGTACGGAAATCCCAGTGGAAGTCAACAAACCACTCGATGGACCAGCTCATCCAGCTGAACCGAAGCCGGAAGATGCTGCCAAAGATTCCGAAAAGTCTACTGAAATCCCCGTGGAGATCAATAAGCCATTCGAACCAGTAAAAGATTCTGATTACGGTACTGAGATCCCAGTCGAAGTCAACAAACCTCTGGATGGCCCGACTCATGCTGGAATTTCCGAAAAGGTAGAGGATGAGATTCCAAAACAAACTACTAGCCAATCCGAAGCTTCACCACAAGTTCCAGTTGAGCCAGCGCTCTCTGAATCTGCTAAAATCTCAGGTGAATCCAAGCCATCAGAAGCACCCAAGGTTGAAGACACTTCCAAACCTCAAGAAGCTCAGAAACCGCAAATTCCCGTGGCCCAAACCCCTGACGGCGTTGATCTTCCACCAGCTGAGAATGAGAGACCAACTGAAGTCGATGAGCTTGAAAAAACTGGAGCTTTGAGTAATCAACAACCAATTAAATTGGGTTCACTTGGAAAGAAGAGCTTATGGGATGGAGAAGAAGGTAAGAATGCAACGCCAGACGTAAAGAAAGATATAGAAGACGGTAAACCATCAGAAACTACTCCGAAGAGCGGAGATGGCCCAGTCAATCTATCTGATCTGAGCAAGACATCACTTCTGGAGCAAAAACCGGACGAAAAACGAGTCGGAGATGTCCAAACTGCGGCCGTCAAACCTCCAGACAGCCCAGTAAAACCCGGCGAAATCGGCAGTAAATTACCCTTGGATAAAACTCCTGAGGAAAAGAAGGTTGAGAGTGATCAAGCAGTTGAAAAGAGGGAGATCAAGACTGATGAAAGTATCCCAGTCAAAACTGAAGAAACTCCTCTAATTCAGACCGCTCCAACTGACTCCAAACCCTCGGAAAACAAGGATAATATCAGCTGGATTGAGGAGAAACCAACCGAAGAGTTCGTTGTCGCCAAACCTTCTGAAGTTGAACCTTCCTATGATAGACCAGCCGAAAGTCCTTCCAAGCTTTCAGAAGCTCCTAAACCATTGTTAGAACGAGATGAGAAGGCCGAGACTACCACTGCTCAACCATCTGGACCAGTCAAACTAGAGGATCTCGCTAAAAAGCCTCTGATTGAAGAAGAAAAACCGGAAAAGGTGGAAAAAGTGAACATTCCAGATGATGGTTCCGCTCCAATCAAGTTGAATCAACTTGACAATGAAACTCTGCTCAATAAGCCATCTCCAGCCAGCCCAACTGAATCTAATGTCAAGGAGAATTTGGTAGGGTCTGATGAGCAAAAGAGTGCCGAAGAAACGAAGCCAGGAATTCCACCGTCAATTGGATTCTATGAGCAGCCAGAATCAGAAAAAGAGAAGCCTTCGGAAGCACGTGAAACGAAAGAAACCCTGCCAGAATCTCCAAAGAAAGGAGTCCCTCCATCCATAGGATTCTACGAACCTTCTCCGGAAGACGGATGGATAACGGAGCCAGTGGAATCTGAGGTGAAAAACGTTGAGACACCGGCTAAAATTGAGGAGAAGGAATCGCCAGTGGAACCCAGAGTTGAAGAGCCAAAGAAAGAAGAGATCAGCAACGATGGATGGATCACAGAGCCAGTAGAGGGCGAAAAGAAAGAAGAAGTGAAGGCAGAAGAAAAGAAAGAAGATAAAGTGGAAAAGAAAGATGTCACAGCGGAAGATGGGTGGATAACAGAGCCAGCTGAGGGGTGGAAGAAAGAGGACGAACCTAAAGGTAAGGGATACTAGACTGAAAATGGCCTGAAGTCCATGGAGAAGAAAACCTCTCGATAACGACAAAAAAGTAAACGAAGAGTTTTTATTTTTACATTTCGTCTTTTGGCATTACGCAACTTTGAGAAAAAATATTTTTTTGGGCAACAGTTTTTTGCCCAATTGGATCTTTGGTCGATTATGGCCGAACTCTGGGGAAAACGGATAAAGCTTTGTGAATGCAAAGAATATAACACTTTTCCGACAATTTTTATAACTTTTTCACGAATTCCATCAAAAGTTTACCAAAAATCATTATTTTGATACCTAAAATTGTCCATAATCGATGAAAAATCGCTTTAAAAATCCCACTGCTTTGAAATAGGAATTTCTCTAACTTCAGATCTCAAAGCCTCAGCTGAACCTGCCCCAACGACTTCTCCAGCTTCTCAAGAGCCCTCAAATGACGGGTGGATTACCGAAACAACATCTGAAATACCCAAGCCCGAGGAATCGAAACCTGAAGAGCCAAAGAAAGAGGTCGTCAGTCAAGAAGGCTGGATTACAGAGCCCGCCGAGGGTCAGACTAAAACCGAAACCCTCCAAACCAAAGAAGATCTGCTTATTCCAGATGGTGATAATAAAGTTGAAGAGGAACGGAAAGGTGTATCCTTCGAAGATGGCTCGAGACCTGAGAAAACACAGCCGGCTGGCAAGGAAGTAGGTTTTGCGACCTCAATTTTATGTTACACTAGACATGTTTGCAAGATTTTTAATTTTTATCAAATTTTGATCGATCTTGCATAAAGTTCACGTTCCACTTTGTCTTTTCCCGAAAATCCGCTTGTTTCTTTATGCATGACGAGCTTTCTCAGGACATAAAACCCCGGTTTTATCTGTTTTGACAGGTGTTGCGGATAAAAAGTTGATTTTTTTGAAGATTAAACTCAAAAAATCCCTATCAAATGGGCTTGAAATTCAATTCCACTCGATTTTCTTACCTTCCCAAACGTTTTTTCCAAGAACAGGACTAAATTTTACATTGTTGTAGACGGTCCTGGTGTTCCACGAAGCCCGTGCCTTCTCCCCTGCGCCAGAAGATCCTGCCGCGGCCTTTAATGTGGCGGAGGCCGGCAAATCGGAGGCCAAAATGAGCGAGTCGGATAAGGAAAATGCGACGGACTCGGAGAGTCATCGGCTTCCAATGGACGGAAGTGATGTGGATCTGGACGAATACGAGAGAAGACTGATCGCGAACACGAGAGAGGCGCTCGCATTGGTCGATAAATTGTGTAAAGACACTCAGGAACAACAGGAGAGGCGGAGAGCGAGGCAGAGGGATTACGTGGACCAGGAGAGAAGAGCGCTGATTGTGGAAGGGTAAGGTGAATTTAAAGGTTAATATCTTGGAGAAAAATACTCCAATTTCGTTGAAGTTTTATTATTCTTATCTTGGATAGGATAAAAGTATAGTGTTCAAAATTTGGACCACAATTTTTAAGGGCATCGAAATTATCGGCACTTTTTCTCGCCCGAAATAATTGCTTTTTCTCGAAAAGGAAGAAGAAAGATAAGAAAATGCGTTTTATCGGATAGTGACATTTCGTTTTGAACGAATCACCAAAAAGGGGCGGGAAATTTGTTCTTCTATTTTGGATTGACGTGCATCCGAGATATCGATCAATATTACACTAATTTTTTTCAGAAGTGATCTTGATGTTGAGACTTTCAAACTGAACCCCGAACTTCTTGATGATCCTCAAGGAGTGTTGATGATCCCTGGGAATCGGCTGGTGATTCTGGACAATAAACTTGGCCTGACTCTGCTCAATTTGGAGACCAAGGAAGTGAAAAGGTCACCGAAGCCGGAGGATTGGAGAGATTTGGAGCATGTCTGTTTTATGAAATCTCAAAACCAAATTCTCGTTGTCTATGAGCAGAAAATTGAAGGTATGTGTACTATGAGTACTGTAATGTTTAAATTTTTAGGTGAATCCGGCTTTATGAAGTCCCTAGCCCGCTTCGACCTTGATCTCAATATAATCAGTAAATGTGAAACGCCCAAGATTCTCCGCGACAAGCCCGTGCACAATTGTCGGATTTGTTATGTGGAGCAGACCGATTGTATCTATTTGGCGGTGAATTCACCAAATAATTGTTATCTTTATGAGCTAAAGGAATGCAAAGGAACTCCCAGATGGACCGAGGTTTACAATATGCGAGGGAAACAGATCGCGGATATCAGTGTGTTTGCTGTTGTGGGTAAGAAAGTTATTTTACGTCATAAAAAATATAATATTTGCGATAATTGAGAAAAATATGTCATCATGACATGTCTAGATTAAAATTATGAAAGAAGATGGCAGAGCGAAGGATCTGCCTCCAATTTTGCCCGCTTTTCTTGCGCAACCCTTTTCTTCTCGTTCTTTCCAACCTTTCTCTAACTTCCTCGCCCCAAAAGAGAACCCATTCGTTTTCCCGGAAAAGGAAAGCAGAGCCGATCCAGTTTCCACCCTTTCTTTATCGCTTCTCGGCCTTTTGGCTAAGATCAAAGTGTAGTATCTGTTCTTATCGGTTTAATCTCCGGTACGACTTCTATTGAAGTCATTCGAGATTAACAGATTTTTGGGACCAGCGGAGTTGTGAAGGCTTGCCTTCCGCTCGGCACGGGTCGGCCCGGTCTTGCACTGCTTCCGGGAACGGCTCATATATTATCATAACAAGCTGATGAAATCTTAAATTTTTATTGGTTTCTCAGCTTGTGGAGGTGACATTGAACGTATCAAAGTAACTTATCCATGAAAAATTGAATTTCCTAGGCTTTTGAATGGCTGTTTTTTTTGTTTTGATAGAGCTTGCTGATATTCCAAGGAGTTATAGTTGAATTCTATGGTTTACCAATCAAACGACTTGATATTACCCTTGAAACATCAAAATTATATTATCCATGACAAAAAAAATTTTTTTTGATAACTCCTATTTTTAGGTCCAATAACTGAGCTTTTGGTGGTCGAATCCACTCGCCGTCACATGATTCTCCTTTGTATCTACGAATCCAATCTAGCCGAGCGATCGATGGTTGCTTTTTGCGCCGAACCAGCAGCCATGGCGATCGATGAGAGCCAAAATGTGATTGTTTTTGACAGAGCGACGAATCTGGTCGGTGTTTACTGTAGATTGCATTTCCAAAGGATGCGAGATTTGTTGGCTATTGGTCGGGCCAATTGCCAATTATCGGCACAGAACGGATTCTTGGCCTTGTTGAACAAATCGGTGAAGGAGCTGAGGATTTGCAAGTACTGAGGCTACTATTTAAGACATTTTTATTATAATTTCATCTTTTTCTGATCAATGTGAGAGCTCTATTTGTATGTACAATGTATGAACGAGGTAAAAAAATTGAAATTTATTCAAAGTTTTTTTGAATTAAAAAAATGAAAGATTAGGCGACCAAATACGGTGCCATCATCATAACGCCGATCACTGTACCGAAAATGAAGAACGTGAAGACATGAAGACAGAGCTTATCCACCACCAACGCCGCAAATCTCCAGTCTCGCGCCTCCGCTTTATCCGTTTCGTCCATCAAAATTTTGTCGGTTACAGTCTGAATTGCAGTGTAAAATAATGTAAAATGATCTCTTCAAAAATTTTGTTCAAACTTTGAACTCACAGTGACTTCGTCGAGGATGTCTTGAAGCGATAATATTAGACTGGCTTGAATACTTGGTAGGCCATTTTTGACGATGCTTTCGATATTTTCTAGAGATAATTTGGACTGATTCCTCTTCATGAAGGGCCGGAGCAGCTCGCCTGACTCACATGAACCTCTGCAAATGGAGGATTCTTATTTTGAAAATTGGAATTTAAAAAATTTTATTGAAGTATTCAAGGATGCCTGTTTTTAATCCTGAAAATTTTAGCTATGGCTTTTCAGAAGCAGATGACTATAATCCGATAGATAATTAGAGAATTCAATCAAAGAAAATTATTTTTTTACAGATATCTCCTGCACTGTCGGGGAGAAAAACTTGTTTTGTTGGAGATGATGTCATCCTCAGTTCCCAAATTTTTTAATTTTTTACCTGCATATTTTTAGAACTTTTGATAAGAACTATAACTCGAAAAAGATACCATTAAACTTACTGTAATCCCTTTTCGATTGACATTACATTCCGAATCAATTGAGTGCATCCATTTCCTTCCTTCTCCTCCCTAAATAATGGCGGCAAATCTTTCCATTTCAATTCAACTCCTGGCCTTTTGATCCTCAATAAATATGGAATCCATTGCAGTAATAATTTTTGTGTCTGAAAGAGAACAGTTACCGTATTTTAAATATGTAACATAAGCTAAAAAATTCTCTTACCCAAGGTCCCATCCTCTGTGTAGTCGGATTACTGTAATGTAGATTCATAACGTATACTGTAAACATTGTGGACAAGGTAACTACTATAAGGCAGCTGGAAAAGAAGAGGCCGAGCAAAGGGACGGCCTCGGAAGTGGGCGGGGACATCTCTGAGAGCATGGTCAAGAAGAAGCAGATCGACAAAAGAACCGTGATTTCTACAAATAGCCGTAAACATTGACATGATCGTATTTTACAACCATTTTCATACTATGGACATACGTAAAGTGATCTTCTCTCCAGCGTCCGGCGGCAACGAGAATCCGAGAAGGGTGACCGTGGTGGTCAGAATACCCGGCATGATCAGATTAAACCCATAATAAAGAGTCCGGCGACGAAGTTGAAGGGAGAAGGTGACATCCAAATAAGGATCATTTGGACAGCATTCGTAGTACTTCTCATTACGAGTTACCTTGGTCTCTGGAAATCGGAAAAAATTTCATTTTAAAAACAGAGGACGCATTTTATTAATTGTTTGGTGACTCTAGTTCAATGACACCTCCATCAGCTGAGAAGCCAATGAAATTGAGATTTCATCAGCTTGTTATAATAATATCTGGGCCGTTCCCGGAAGCAGTGCAAGACCGGGCCGACCCGTGCCGAGCGGAAGGCAAGCCTTCACAACTCCGCTGGTCCCAAAAATCTGTTAATCTCGAATGACTTCAATAGAAGTCGTACCGGAGATTAAACCGATAAGAACAGATACTACACTTTGATCTTACAAGGGAAGTACTTGAAGTGTGACGCTCAGATTTTGATGAAACTTGGCACAAATTTAGAATAATTTTTTCTAAGATATATGCGGGAATCCTAGCTCGCGCTTTGCAGAAACAACCGAGATTTTTAGATCGAAAGTCGGCGAAAATTTGGGACTTTTTGCCGAATTTCGGCACGAAAAGTTTCATGCCTATTTCAACCGTAAAGAATAATGTTTCTACAAAAAATCAAATTTTTCCGCACGAAACTGCCAAAGTTATGGCCAAAAAGCGGTTTTCTCTCTGACCGCTCTCCACGTTGAGCGTGCTCTCTCGGCGGCAAAAATCGTTCAATATCTCGGCGGCGCCCGCAAAGCGCGAGCTAAAACTTTCAGGAATTGATATTTAGTCCATACCCGTGGTGTGTGCAAAATTTAAAGAAAATCTGAGCGTCACACTTGAAGTACTTCCCCTGTTAGCCAAAAGGCCGAGAAGCGATAAAGGAACGGGGAAATTTGGATCGGCTCTGCTTTCCCTTTCCAGGAAAACAAATGGGTTCTCTTTCGGGGCGAGGAAGTTAGAGAAAGATTTGGAAAAACGAGGAGAAAAGGGCTTGTTGCGCAAGGAAAGCCGGTGAAATTGGAGGTAGAAAACTCTTGCTTGAATTCTCGTATGTATATACAATCATATAGAATATTGAGTAAAAATCAGACATAATTTTTGCGACAAATGGCACCCAAACTCACCTTGAATAGTCCATTCCCCGTTCTCAATATATTCGCTGACATCGAATCCCCCTTCTGCTGGCTGTAGATCCAATCTTCTCCCACTGTATGTCCATGACCCAAACTTGAAACTACATCTTTGTTCATCAAAAGGAAAGAATCGGATATTAATTTTGCAAGAGATCCGGAAAATCCCCGGAGGGATCCACACAACCGAACCGGAGTTATAGACGATCACATTTGAGGGAAAAGTGGAATCAAAAGTTGTGTCCACACTGTTGTAGAGGAGAACATCTAAATCCACAATATTGTCAATATCAAGCGATCTTTGTATGGGGCGAAAATATGCCTACCGGGTTTCCAAACCATGGAGACTGGGAATCTGAGATCAGTGATGTTACCGTATTCTGTTGGGTCCCATCGGAGTTTGTAGTCGTTCCAAGCCTAAGGTCATGTTTTCGAATTCATTTTTGAAAAAATTTCTTGTTTCCGGGAGGGATGTAAGTGAAGAAAAACTGTCAAGGCCACTTACAAAATTGAGCCACGCATTCACATTGACCATTTCATTTTTTTCATCCACATCGATCAGCTGTTGCAAAGCCACTTTCAAGCTGACAGTAATGGGCTTCGAATAGTTGTAGATTGGCCTCTCATTGGTACTGTAATCCCTCAGCAAATCTTCGTACAATCTCCGCTCGTGTGAAGAAGATGCAACGTATTTTACAATCAACAAAAGAATATAGATTATGCTTATTAATGACATAACACTAAAAATTTTTTGTTACAATTTCAGACACTGCCAAGAATTTCCCCTCAGGGCAAGACGGGAAATCTATCATGTTTGTCTTTATTAGGCACCACAAAGGGAGCGGATATCAGGTTTCGGGAAAGGATTTACGGGTATAAATTACACCGCCAAGAAGGAAATCATAAATTTTTTGGGGAACAATAATTGAAAGGGGTTTGTAACCGGAAATTTTAATATTTTTACTGCTTGTTTTCAGCGATTTTTTCAACAATTTTTGTTGCCAATGTAAGCTTTGACCTCCTTTGTTTTTTCAAAGTGCCAGCGATTTCAAGGGGCCATAAACCAGTTTCCCATGTTTTTATGTGAGGATTTAATGAGTTTTCGGTTTGAAGTATCAAACAACCCCTTTTGGCGTGCTTTTAGAGCTTGTTTACAACAATTTTGCAGCATGTTTGATAGATAAACGCTGCTGGTTTTATTTGTTTTGCAACGTGTTATAGCATATAGTATCATCGCACGATAAATATCACCCATTGAAACTAATTTTCCACGGGTTTGTAATAATAAATAATATCTGGGCCGTTCCCGGAAGCAGTGCAAGACCGGGCCGACCCGTGCCGAGCGGAAGGCAAGCCTTCACAACTCCGCTGGTCCCAAAAATCTGTTAATCTCGAATGACTTCAATAGAAGTCGTACCGGAGATTAAACCGATAAGAACAGATACTACACTTTGATCTTAGCCAAAAGGCCGAGAAGCGATAAAGACACGGTGGAATTTGGATCTGCTCTGCTTTCCCTTTCCAGGAAAACAAATGGGTTCTCTTTCGGGGCGAGGAAGTTAGAGAAAGGTTTGGAAGAACGAGGAGAAAAAGGGCTTGTTGCGCAAGAAAAGCGGGCAATTGAACGCCGAATCTGCGATTGCAGACACCTGTCTGACTTTTTTTCATTTCCTTTGCAATATATTTATTCCGTTGACATTGTTATATCTTAAAAATGATTACCAATCAGCATTGGGAAGGGGTCTGAAGACGTTGAGGCAATATCTGAATCTGTCGGACTTGAAACAATTGGCGACGCATTCGGCCTTGACGTTTTGAATCTGATCAGCGAACATTCTCTCGCAGAGCACGCAGATTCTGTCCATGAAAACATGGAGAGCGGGGTTCAGATGGACCTGAGAATTGGGATGGATTAGTTTAATAGTAACACAGTGGTGGTGTGTACTATATATCGTATACACGGACAAATTTCTGACCATAGAAATTCGCGTTTTAGCTACTTACCCTGCACTTTGGTTTTCTGCTTTCATCCAGCGCTCTAGCGTAATTGGATTCATCGTCTGCGCCGCTTGCCGCAGCCGCGAAAACTAACAAAGCCAGGACGATGATTGCGGAGTTCATTTAGCCAAATTTAGACACAACCCGACTCGACGAGATAGTTCGAAACAACTGATTATGTCAGCTAACATCTCTGGCAACTTAACTACCACATTTTTCAATCAAATAAAAAAGCAATATGATCGCATAATTAAACAATTACACATAGATTTATTTGTATTCATGAACGATGTAATTTCGTCCACAGATTGTAATTATGTTAAATTTTTAATTAAGATTTTAAGAAATGCAACATAGGCACATTTTTTTTCGTTTTTTTATAAGTTTTTTGCAGTTTCAGCTTTTTTGAGCATGTCCAAAATTGAAATTTTTGTCGATGTTTATCCCCACATGGCAATCTAGCCGGCCTTTTGCTCCTGGGGGTCCGAAGCCCGGCTGATAAAACGTTGGTCCGGCCCTGAAAAATCTAAAATTTCCCAAGCCTGGCCCGGTATTTTAAATAACATAATTTTTTTAACGTCATCTTTTTCTTACAAGAGACTGTTTATGTAAAAGAAGAACTACTGAACTAAACCCCAAGTACAAATAGCAAAAGATTTATAATTTTGACGCGAAAAATAAAAAAATTGTTTTTTTTTCAAAAAAAAAAATTTTATTTTGTTTGGGAACCTGACCTCGGGCCCAAATCCAAACTTCAAGCCCGGCCCGATAAAATACAGGGCCGGCTCGTTTTCAAAATTTCCAAAGCCACCCCCGGTTACCATGTCTGTTTTTATCTCGTATGGTCACAATATGTATACGTCATAGCGGATCAAAGCAACATCAGTAATTTTTATTCAAATCATCTCAGGGTTTATCAATAAGGCTTGAAGACGTTCATACAGCTCGTGAATCTCCACGATTTGAAGCAGTTAGCCCTGCATTCAGAACGGAAATTGGGGTTCTCATGGCTGTACATTTCATGACAAAGCTGGCAGATTCTGTCCAGAACGACATGGAGCGCTTCGTTGGCATGGATCTGAGAGAGGATTTACACCGTATTCGGGCGGCTACTCACATGGCACTCTGCTGTCTTACTCTGGTCCATTGCATAGCGCCATGATTTCACATCGATGACGTTGTGGTATTGATATTGCGCATGTACAGCAACCACCAACAACAAAATTGCCAACTTGAAGTGCATCTTTCGCAAAATTAAACACACCCAAACACGACGATGTGGAAGTTATGGATTGACAGGCGTTGCGGAGACCTTTTTATTAGGATTTTTCTGTTCAAATGATTGGATATTTCATGTAGAGAATTGTCGCGTTATTGTCGCATTACAACCAGACTCATAAATAATCATTAAACTTTCAGAGCGAAATTAAATTTTTCATTGATTTTGACGCAAAAGATTTGCGGAGGATGGGTTACCCCGGAATAGGGTACCCATCGGATAGGTTACCCCTAGGTTGCCCTTTACCAAAAAAAAAAATTTTTTTTAATGTTCTCGCTTCGGGACTCGGAAAAAAGATTTTTTGTGAAATTTGAATAAAATTTGAAATGTTTTCGCTTCGGGACAAATTTTATTCCATTTTCACTAAAAATCCCTTTGTTTCATGTCCCGAAGCGAAAACATTTAAAAAAATTTTTTTTTCAGTTCATAGCGGGTCAATATCATAGTATATAATATCATAGCGGGTCAAGGAACATCAGTAATTTTTATTCAAATCATCTCAGGGTTCATCAATAGGGTTTGAAGACGTTCAAACAGCTCCGGAATACCCAGGTTTTGAAGCAGTTAGCAATGCATTGAGAACGGAAATTGGGGTTCTCATGGCTGAACATTTCATGGCAAAGCTCGCAGATTCTGTCCATAACGACATGGAGCGATTGGTTTTTATGGACCTGAGATGGGATTTACACCGTATTCGAGCGGCTACTCACCGTGCACTCTTTCTTGTTACTCTCCGACATTGCGTAGTTCCATGTTGCCGGATCGATGACGCGTTGGTATTGTGCATTTACAGTTACAGCAACCACCAAAAACAAAATTGCTGACTTGAAGTGCATCTTTCGCAAAATTAAACACAACCAAACACGGCGATGTGGATGTTATGGACTGATGCGGAGACCTTTTTATTAAGATTTTTCTATTCGAATGATTGGATATTTCATGTAAAAAATTGTCGCGTTATTGTCGCATTACAACCAGACTCATAAATAATCATTAAACTTTCGAAGCAAAATTAAATTTTTTATTGATTTTTTGAATTGAACACTCCAAAAAAGGACGCAAATTTCGCAAAAAGGATGCAGATTTCACTTCAAATCGTCGAACCCTCGTGCTCCTGGAGGTTTGAAGATGTTCAGACACTCGCGGAATCTGCAGTTAGTAAAACAGTTGGCGTAGCATTGGGAATGATAATTGGGGAAGCGGTAGGAAAACATCTCATGGCACAAGCGACACACCCTGTTCATCACCTCATGAAGGGCTTGGTTCTGGTGGATCTGAAAGGTAGAAAAGATATTCCGCGATCTTAGCTCACGCTTTGTAAAAAAATCAAGGTTCTATGTTAAAAGTTATAAAAATTGCAAACATGCGTGAGGGGTTTTGCAACAGACTTAGGAGAAGTTGTTTACAGTGGCGGTCCACGTCAAAAAAGATTCAAAATACAAGGAATCTGATTGTGATAATATATCATATTTTTGCGTATATATTATATAACATAATAACATTGTTTTTTGAACTGTAAATTATATACATGATGATTTTCAAAATAACTCCTTAGAAACAGTTATTCTTGGCGGATTACCTTCAGCCACTTTATTATTATTTTGCCGCCAGATTGTTGTCTGTCACGCCATATTTCCCAGTTACATAACAAAACGTTCTCAGGCTATCTTGTCAACAATTTCTAGCATGATCATATTTAATAATAGGCCGACTTTAGCCGTCTATTACTATTTGATTTTGTTTTTATATTTTGAATATTTTTTTGACGTCTGCTGTTCATAAAGATCATCACCAAGTTGCCTCGCCTTTCCATCGTCATTTTCTCTCTCCGAATTCGATGACTTCACCAAGTCTGATCCTTAAAATACGTCTGGGTTTGGATTAAGCCTTCATTTCAAACAAACAGGAAAGGAAAATACTTGAAGGGCGGATTATATTTTATTAAGCTGCACTTGGCTACAGAGGCCGGCTTATAAATATATAAGAATGGGAAGGGATGTGGAGGTGTATTTTCGTGGATTTGGGGTATAAGCAGGGATGGAAAAATTTTGTTTTGGCTGGTAAAAAATTATATTATGTCTTAGCTTTAGGTACACGACCAGGAAGGGTGTAAAATTATATTAGATTGCTAGCAAAAGCTTTGCGGAAACGACCGAGATTTTTGGTTGAAAGTTAGAGAAAATGCGGCATTTTAAAAGACCTATAGGCATACAGGTTTCTCACTTATTTTTACTGTCCTGTTTCTATAAAAAAAATTATTTTTTCCAAGGCAAACGAACGAAGATACGGCCAATACGAATTTTCCGTGTTTCACGTGGTCTCTCGGGGGCAAACATAGCATAACTTCTTCGCTACACCCTACAAAGCGCAAATTAAGACATTCAGCGTTTATATGAGGACTCTGCAAAATTTGTATGTAAAATCGAAAGGAAATCATCCCATTGGACAATTCCCTTGCTACTTTTTAAAATACGGCTTAAAATAGGCTTTCTTTTTTATTTGATTTATTATTTCAGCATCACTCGCAGACAGGACTTTGACATTTTAATCTAGCCTAAATTGCAATGGCAGCTTGAATTGGAAATTATTTACTACTTTATGTCATTCCCCCACTATTTTTCCCAATTCCAATCGTCTTGCTTGATTAAAGTAACAAGTCCATCGTGTTTTGCCGTCCATTTTTGGATGGCCCGAGGCCAAAAACATTCGAAATTAATTTGGGCGTTCGTGCCGCGAAAGAAGCGGGCCTGCGGAACGACTGCACGCTGCGGTGGGTGTGAGAATGTAAAGTCATTCCTGGGCCAATTTTAGCCCTGGAATTCGAGTACTTCCAATTTGCCTAAAACAGCATCCCCCGTCCATTCTTTTGACCTGAATAAACACTTTGTGCCCTGCGGGAGGATTTATAAAAATGCGACAAAAAAAGTTTGGCAAATCTTTTTTTTTTTGTTTTCTACTTCAAATCTTTTGCGTTTTTGCGGCCAAAAAATTGAATTCGAAGGGCGAGTCTCTTCTTCTCTTTTTGTCATTTTTGTCCTCAAATTGCGAGCATTCAACACATCCGGAACGGCGCTGATTTGAAACCCGTTGAAATGAACTCCGTTCCTGTCTTTTGTCGCGGTTTTATGTTATTCTGGGGAGTACAAGGCGAGACGAAAATTGGCTTAGGATTGATTGGGTGTTGACACGAATGTTGAGGAAGATGACATCGCGAAGACAACAAGTTTGAGCTCAGATTCTGTCGCGGGAAGTCCTCGAATGGCGTCGTATTTCCGTCAAATTTGGCATATATGGTCTAAAGGGGGATAGGGGGATTTCAATGCTTAAGAAGGTTAGTTTGTGCTTTGCAAGGTTCTCGGGATGTAAAAAAAATTTAGTTCAAATCCAATGGCAGACCTTTTAAAAAATTAGTAATTTTACCGTTTTTTCCTCTAAATTTTGGCGTAGAAAAAACATTGCCATAAATTTTTTTGCTGACAATTTTTTCACCTCACTGCATCACATTAATAGACTTTCAAAGTTGTCATCGTCCTTAAAATTTGACGCCAAATTTATAAAATTAGTATGATGATGATAACCCTTTGGAGGTAAAAATAGGAATTTAATTAATGGCGTAATATCCCAGGCTAGAGGATTAGAAATTCGAATAAAGGAAAGAAAATGTAAAAGTTCTTCTCCAATTTTACTACCTTGCTTTTTGCTGCACTAACAAGGGAAGTACCCCAAGTGCGACGCTCCGATTTTCTTTAAATTTTGAACACACGTCGGGAATAGACTAAATATCAATTCCTGAAAGTTTTAGCTCGCGCTTTGCAGGCGCCGCCGAGATATCGGACGATTTATGCCGCCGAAAGAGCACGCTAAACGTGGAGAGCGGTCAGAGAGAAAAACGCTTTTTGGCTATAACTTTGGCAGTTTCGTGCGGAAAAATTTGATTTTTTGTAGAAACATTCCTCTCTATGTTAGAAATAGGCACAAAACTTTTCGTGCCGAAATTCGGCAAAAAGTCCTAAATTTTCGCCGACTTTCGATCTTAAAATCTCGGCTGTTTCTGCAAAGCGCGAGCTAGCATTCTCGCATATAATTTAGAAAAAATCATTCTAAATTTGTGCCTAGTTTCATCAAAATCTGAGCGTCGCACTTGGGGTACTTCCCCTGTAAGAAGGAAGTTGGCGAAACTCAAGACTTCGAATTTTATTCAACTTGGCAGTAAGTTTTGAATTTCTCTACGGATTTTTTGAATTTTTAAAATTTTTTAAAATTGTTTCCTCGAAAAAGTTTTTTTATGTTTATGTTTTTTTGCATTTCTTTTTTTGCCATACACAGCTTGTTGCTGCTAGAATTTGTTTTTCATATTTAATCTCCGCCCAATTCTTTCCATTGTGCCCAGCGTGAGAAAAGTTTCTCCAAAGACTTTATGCATTTTTTTCGAAACTTTTACAGTGATTGTGACGTTCCTCTGCCTTTCTTCGAAGCTCCATTTGTGTCATAGCCGGGGGGTTCTAACCAAATTTCCCATAATATATTTTCCCCTGGTCTCTTTGGTTCTTTCATATGTAATTTCGTTTTTATTTTCATGCTTTCTTTTTTCGCTTTGAACTTTTAAGCCATTGGAGACTTAGAAAGACTTAGAACTCCGTATTTTTATTATTTTTTTTTGCATTCTTCTTTCAGTTTAAACGTCCGCAAAAATTTAGTTCTAGCAGCGAATTTCTCGATTCCCTGCCCTAAGGACTTTCCCCCTTCAATTTCCTCCGCATAAATTTTTCCTTCCTTCTTTATTTTTGCTTCTTTAGCATTGTATTTTTGGAAGATTAGATTTGAGGAAAATTCGGATGAAATTCAAATTGGATTAACCCAAAATACTCAGCGACAAAAGTTGACTTCTACTCTATCTATAATACCTTTTATTATAGGCGGCCCAGAGGGGTAAACAACGACGAGTCTGGGTTATTGGAGCTTTGTTTTGGATTACACATATATACATAGCACTCGAACAGAATGCCAATTTTTTCTGAAATTTTTCAAATTTTGTCAAATTTTTGATTTTTTCCTCTAATTTTCTTTATGACAAAGGACAAAAAATCTTTTCTCGAAGTCGCGTTCAACCCAAAATAATAATTTTTTCTCATCTTCATGTTGATATTGACAAGTGTCAGATTGAACCCATTGGTCTGATGACCATCAATGACCAAGAAAACCGATCATGTTTTCGTCAATTTCTCGTATTCTTGCCTTTCCCCTTCTTCATGTTTGGTCTTGAAGATGAATTACGCTGACAGTAAAAGGTCTTGTCATAAGTCATTCTTAGGGCTTAGGGTAAACAAAAAAATCTTTTGGAAAAATATTTAAAAAATGGAACCCAAAAAATGATGATATTTAAAATTTAGACGGTGTTTTACTCAAAGTAATACTCGCCTCACTTATTTTTGGCCTCATAAAACTAAAATTACAGTTACTTTTTATTACTCTCCCCACTTTCCCCGACTTGCTACCCATTCCCTCCGCCTGATAAAGTTGATGTTTTATTCATTCGGACAGGAGTGATCCGCTCTTGCCAAGAAGCCGTTCCCAATTAGGTATGCCCTTTCACCAACTAATTCGATTCGTGTTTCCCATCTTTTTTGCGGCTTATTCCATCATCTCTGACATTCCGGCCAGGAGGGGAAATCATTTGGTTCGTGAAGAAAATGGGTTCGCGGAAAGAATGATGTGTTTTGGGAGGTAAAGGCCGCTGGCGTAAGCCTGGAACTATTGGATGAACGAAGAAAATGACTGGAAGAATGTTTTTTCGGGCATTTTAACCAAAAATGATTATAAATCATCAAAATTTTTG